ATACAGAAACTTAGGTCAATTTAAAATTAAATTTCGCACATCAATTCCGAGAATCTGAGAAAACCGAATTCGAACTCACCGAACGGCCTCTACTTGAAACATGGAAAGTCAAACCATTATGATATCACGGCTTTTAACAAGTGGAAAATGAATTTTAGAGTTTTGTGAATTTGGAACTTGTGATAATCTAATTCTAAGTTACAAATTTCAATCGAAAGGATTGTCAGGTTAGAAATCCAGCTCGAAAACATGGCTATCCTTGTTTTTATGTTTACCAAATCATTGTTTATTTTTACGACTCAATAAATAATACGAACTATTCGCTATATAAATCAAAATGAGGTACACGGTCGAATATTGTCATTTGAGATCGTTCAGTTATTGAGAAATTGTTACTGTATTGAACTGTTTACGGTCATTTAGTTTCAAAGCTTTAAGGTTTTAGGGGTACCTGGCAACGGGTTTCAGGCAAAGGCTAGAATGGCAAGTTTTTGTTAAAATTCGATCATGTGGAACTTAATTCTTTATGGCTGTTTGTTCTCGAGTGGGCTCTATGTAACCATTTTGAACTCTCCGCATTCGCTTGACCATTGAAGACTTAGTTTGTTGTATTATTTTAAACTAAGAAATATAATAAAAGTAAAGCGTAATATGAAATGAAACTTAACTTTTGTATGAGTGAAATTTATTTTATTCATTGACTTCCTTATTTCCTTAGTTTTATTGTATCAATATGTTGAAATGCAAAGTACTGTGATGCATGAGTATTGGACATACTTATAATGTTTTTTTTCAAGAATCCACAATTTTTCTAAAATATTTTTAGTTTATCGAGTTCTTATGTTTTCGCGATTGTTACACATAGGAAATGAAACTATTTTGTCGGATCTAAAATCACGTATATTTATTTTTTCGGCTGACTGTCAGCCGTGACCATGGGACCTGTAATGGGCCCGAAACGTTGGTTTGTTTAAAAAAAAACAAACATACGCGATTTAGCTCCGAAAAAATAGTTCCATTTCCTATTTTTAATTTAATACAAAAACATGATATTTTTAGTAACACACGCATTTAAAAATTTTTCAAGATATTATTAATATCTAGAAATATAGGTTAACACGGGATGATTTATCAGGAAATCAGGAATGCCTTTTACAATATTTAATATAGAGTTCTTAGGTTTTTGCGATTGCCACCCATTGGAAATAAAACTATGTTTTCGGATCTAAATCGCGTATAAACCAACCAACGAAAGTTTCGGGCCTTTTGCAGGTTCCATATACACGAGTTTGTTTGAAAAAACAAATATACGTTTATTTCTTTTCGAGAATATTTAATATTCAATATATTTATTTTCATGGAAAATACCTTCGGCATTTCATGCATAGTTTTTTTCATACCAAGAAATATAATCAAAGAAATGCAGTCTCGTATGTATTAAAAGGTGAGTTCCCCACATCAGATCATAAAATTAGCATCGGTAACATCAGAGAACCTGTGAAGTATGGCGACAAAGAATTCCTTTTATTTTGCCTTATATTCTATTGAGCTGTTTTTATGAATATTCTTTTATCCTATTTAAGTTGTGATCCTCATATCGTTGTGATAGAGTGAATACCTCGTATGTGATTTCCATATAATACTTCAGGACGGAGATAAAAAGGTAGTGTAAAACGTAGTAAACGCAATAATGTTTGTAGTTAGCATTTTAATTAGTTACATTATACCTTTTTCAGATACTATATTACTTTAATAATATATTTGAGCAAGAAGTTTATAAGCATTTCTTCAACAAAAATTAGTAAAAACGAACTACGTGACAACGCGTAACCGACGTTTTCACTCTAAAGCGACGATATAGAGGATAATACTCTTTTCATATATCTATTCAATCGTAAATGCGCTTAGTTACACAAGCACCTACATAAAAAGAAATATAAATACCGAGTGAAGTTTAAACTACTTCTACAGCGGAAATAAACTAATGAATGATTACAGCCACACGGTGTCTTTGATAGTCAGTTATATCAAAGTCAAACTCAAATAATCATTTATAAAAATTTTACACTTGGAAACGTCATGTTTTAAGCTACTGCTCGTTCACTACGTTGGCCTCCCTGAGAAGAACGAACAAGAAACTGTAGAGATTGCGCTTTTCCAATAAATTTAAATGTTATGGAATTCACTTTGAATCTTAATTGTGTGGAATCTAGGCTCATGTTGTCCTTCCATACGTCAATAATAATAAAAAACTAGTGGATTATTAAACACAAAAATATCACGGTAGTACAATCATCATGATATTCAATAAAAATGAAATAATACTACGTATGTGAACTAAATTTTTTCTTACTAGAGATTTAGCTCACATTTTGTCAAGTCTCAAGTTCAACTTTAAGTCATATATGGTAATGGCTCTGTCGTTTTATGCGATGATTCTGTCAACGACAGGGTTCGAAGACTCAGTTAGCGATGCACGACTTGGAATGTGACTAATACTAATCATTCGAATGGGCAAATCATTCGTCTAAGTCGAATCGTTACGTCGACTCGAGTCGAATGATTACCGATACCGAATATTAAACTTCGCTAGAATCATTCGCCATGTTCATACCAAAATATTCCGGTCTCTGTCGCATTTACGGTATTTACCATAGGTCAGAGAGGGCTAGGCAGAAATGCGCAATGGAATGTATGGATTAGTATTATCAATTAGTAATTAATGATTATTCAGATCATTGGAATACGAAAATTAGTAGTTAAATTAATTTAATTTGTAGAAATTTAGTACTAATTTGTCATTCCAATACGAGGATCGATAAGTTAACGAGTTGTTGAAAGGTTTTTGCGGTATATTTTTTTTGTTTTTTTATAAATGTCACTTGATGAAATGCTAAAATATGGACGAAAATAGTCCACATTGGCTTAAAAACTTTTACCTTTAACATTAGATCTTTCGTTCGAGAAACACAGTAAAAATTTATCTCTGGACATTGACAGTTTGTTTACATGATCCGTGTATGCCGAATATAATTATTCTATTGTGAATGAAAAAAATATTCCAATAATTCAAAACACTATTAAAGTTTCAATTTTAATTTGCCAAAGGCAAGTCCCGCAATAAACAAGTTGTTTATGGTAAATGTTAATAAACTTTGACGTCGTGAACAGTGTTATTTCATTTGTTACCGGCGATTTATTAGCTACCATTTAATTTTCTATGCACCATTGTGTGCCTGTTCAACATTTTTACGTGTCGATTGCAATAATTTTTTTATCAAGAAAAAAATCAAGAATGCATGCAAAAATGTTAAAACAAGTAGTAAGAATTTACTTCAGACGCATATTTTCTGTGTAAAGGCATAGAAGAAATTACAATAACTTTACATATGAATTGCAAGAAACTAAGTACTATTTATGTATATTACACGTATATACACACGCACCAACACACACATACACACACTTTTAGTAGCAGTAGAGCTCTTTGTGAAAGAGTTCGTCCAGTGAAGTACTGCCACCTTAACTATTTCTGCCGCCAAGCAGTAATGTCAGCATTACTGTGTTCCGATTTTGAGGGGTAAGGGTGCTGGTGAAATGACAGGTACAAGAGACTTGTCAACTTATGTCTTAGGGTGACAGGCGCAGTGGCAATGCCCCTCGGATCTTTGTGATTTAAAGCTCTGAGTGGCACTGCAAATGTTATAGACACTGGCGTGTAGCTTACCATCAGGCGCACGACTTATTCGTCCCATCACTTGATATTATACAATCGTCTGTCGTATATTATATATATATATATACATATGTATATACACACACACACGATCGAACTTTTGTATGACTGTAATAAGCACCGGCGATATATAATTTAGAAAATGAAAATATTGTTTTCGGCTCTAATATGGGTATATTTGTTTTTCGTTTGAAAACAAAAATACGCTTACTACTAAATGTATAATGCGGTACGGCGTCGTATTTTGTATGATTTCACCGAGAAACGTTCAAACGGAGTGGATATCTTCGTATTTACGGTCAAATTCCGTTGGATGCGTTAATATAAGTAGGCTATCAAGTCTGGACCGAGTACATAAGTTAACATTACGATTATGTAGAGCAAGAGCTGCTTTACGAGGTGACCGTTTGGATTGTAATTTATAGATAAAATAATTTCTGAGGAGTACACTAACTTCAGAATTTAAAGGTATATTTTACGATCTTACTAGTACTTAGTGTTTAAATACAGGGTGTAATCGTGAAGTGTGACCAGGTGATTATTCCGTAAATATAAGAGATATCAAAAGCTTTTTAACTGATATCAAAAGTTCATTTACCTAATGAGTAAAATGACACGGTTTATAGGTTTTCGATATTTCTTATATTTACACTTAACGATTACACCCAGTATGTGCTAAACACATATGTTTAAAATGTGGTATTGACCTCTTCGAAGATATATTGATGTCTATCAAGTTCTATCATGAAAACAATCAGCTGTAAATGTATCTTAATGATATGAATGTTTGACTAACTAAAAATGTATGGTCTGTAACGTTTTTAATTGAAACTGAAATTCATCAGAAAATAATAATAATAATGTAATGTGTCAAACTGCTACATTAATCACCTGGTTTTAAATTAGGGAATTCTCTGTAATATAAGTAGCAATGCAACGGAATTCACTCCAGGATACTGTTCAGAACACCCTAATCAGAACCAATTTAGAAAAGTTCGTTTCCCAAATTAATCTTGCCTGGTATCGAACCCGTCGCCTCCTTATCCACCGCTGACAGTACACACCGTTGGGCCACTGATGTCATCGGTATTTGAGATAATAATACAAAGTTGACTTCTCAACATTTTTTATTAGTTTCAATGCAGATCATTTTGACGCTAACAATTTCTACTTAAGGTCGCCAGAAATTGATTATTCAGCTTTATATTTACTTACTTATTGAGGTGTGTTTGTTATAATAGATGTCCATAAGTACTACACTCACCTTGCATTTCATAGCCAGCACCAACTGGTATCGATGTGCAGTCAATGCATCCTTATAAGATCCCTGGCTGAAATAAGCAGCTCCCAGGTTGCCATGCGCTCGACATTCTCCCGCAGTATCTCCAAGAGATTTGGCTACAGCCAAATCCTGCTGCATGTAGTTTATTGCTGCATCTAGCTGATTTAGAGCCCAGTGAGCAGATGAGAGAGCGCTGAACACTGAGCCTCTGTGGACAAAGTGATAAATTGTTTTACACCGTTGATTTGATCAGGGTCGATTAGCACCAGTTACATTAATGATTCCCAAAGTGGTTTATATCTACCCCCAGGGGTCAACTCTAACTAGCAAGGGATCCGTGTCAGCGGTTAAACTTTTAGCAGCTGTAGAGCTCCTTGTGAAAGAGTTTATAGGTGTCCATGAGAGAGAAAAGAAAAGAAAAAAATGTTACACATAACGTTGATAATATCTATAAACTTACGTGATATTTTCTTATAAATTACCTGAAAAAACATTTTCAAGACATAAATGTTTAATGAAACGTGATGATGATATTCGATTAGATAAATGTGTGAAACTTAACATGTTACATTGTTTAAGATTTCACTCAATAGTTAAATTTCTCAAATGGAGTAGAACTATGTCAGTTGTCAAAACCACGTTTGAAGTTGATGAATTTGTAAAAATTCAATATTAGAAAGTCAGGAGGTGTAGCCAAAATAGAAAAAAATATATACGTGGTCTACGAGCCACAAAAGTTTGGGAACCTCTGAGTTAGATGACCTGGGAATTATCAAACTAAGCGCCAGGACATACAACAAGTGTCTAAGAAAAACGTTATACACTTATCTTTTTTGTTAAGCGCTAATGTATAAGTTTGTTTATCTAAGTTTGGTGTTACAAAGTTGCATTTAAATCGAAGATGCAACATGAACTTAGTAAGTTAGTGTCTAAACACTATAAACGGTGGCTAAGTTACCTTTAAAACATTAAAATTAGTAAGTACAAAAAGCTACCACTTAGTACATTCATTTCAATGACTACAATAAATGAAAAACATTTTTTAAATCGTTCATTTTACGGAATCTATGACTTCATGCTAATATGACTGAATGTACATTTTCATTAAAAAAATATTTTTTTATAATATTACGTGATGGGACGAATAAGTCATGCACCTGGTGGTAAGCTACACACCTGTCCATAGCAGTTGCAGTGCCACTCAGAGCTTTAATTCGCAAAGATCCAAGGGGCATTGCCACTGCGCCGCGCACCCTGAGACATAAGTAGAGAAGTCTCATGTGCCTGTAATTTCACCAGCATGCATATTTATTGCATGCTCTTATTTATTACCTAAATAGGATAAAGTTAAATTGTATTTAATTTTACCATTAATACATGTACCCTAATTAAAGCAAATAAATATTTTATTTATTCAAATCAACAAACGTATAACAAGCAGAACATTGTTCTCTAATTATGCATGAAACGATCACAAGTTTCGTAAATCAACGATCATTGTCCGTTGGATAACTGACCAACTGGTTTATACATCCAATTAGATTTACTAAAGAAGCTATCACACACTACCAGTAGAAACCCACTAAAATAATATAATTAGGCCCAAAACAAACGTTCGAACTCATCGCATAAATAGCTCGTGTGAAACGATTAAAATAATTGGAGATAAATATTTTAATTCGTGGCTCGAGTCATGAATCACTTTGAGCGGTGTAATTTGACAACGTTCTTTACACCTTGAGGTCACGGTGTAAGGTCTAATGTGTACAGTAATGCACCTTTTATGTCACGTCGACCCTCTCCAGCACGGTGCAGAGTAAAAGACGTGACTAGGTGGTCACAAAATGTCATGATAAATAATAACGACCTGCCTTACGTATATCAAAACAAGAGCTCTACTCTCGAAGCACGAAATCCGTATCCACTATGGATGACCTAAAGACTAGAATTTCGATCGGGGCTAGAATTAAGAATGTATGACAACGCTATTTGACAGTTTCAAACGGGCCCGTTTCACAGATTCTCTTTTGGTTTCTCAGTTTGTCTTTGCTTTGACGGACTTCGTGAGTAGTCGGTCATACATCCATAGTGGGAAAACGGCCATAAGTACGTATTTCATGTTTCGAGAATAGGGTTCCAGAGCCCATTTTTAAGTGGGTTCATGTTGGTGAACTTTTGGTTGATTAGTAATCATTGTTTCTTATTATTATTAATTATGAATATAAAGATCGAATACAAAGAAGAATTCCTTTGATCTGACCGGACTCGAACCTGCGTCTGTGCCATACCAGGGCGACTGCTCTACCAACTGAGCTACAGAATGAGTCAGCTAATCGTACGATTTTTTTACGCGTTTACAGATCTTTGCTTTTGTTTAACGCTTTTTTGCCGTAGCGCCACATGTAAGAAATCTATGAAAGTATTTTCTTCACTCAACCAGGTACCTTTACAGCTGCCGGAGGTTGACAAGAAATGTCGCTTTATAAATCGTAAATATATACATATTAATTACAATTAATATTACAATCATTATTTCGTTTATAATTACTGCCTAAAATAACAAAGATGAATAAAAATGTTTCTGAATAAGACACAATTAAATAATTTCGAAAATATGTTATACTTTGTTTACTGATTTAATGATTGCACTGTAGGCTTATACTTCCCAAAGGATCTGACGCATATTCTGTGAAGATATTTCAATACCAATATTTTTATTTCGTTATCTCCAGCACCGATTTAAATGCTAAGCCACTAATGATTTCTCGCTGTGACACAAATGATTGAAACTGTTATAAAAAGAAATGCCGCATATTAACACTTTTAAATTATTAAAAATTACTTGTCATTTGGTCAACCGCTTACCGCGAAAAGGTAAGGGGAAAAGATATTAAAAACACACGTGGGTATTATTTATATTCTTTATTTCGTAATCGTTAAGCTCAACCCGCAAAAATTGTGCTTTTTAAATATTAGTATAGATTAAACTATGAACTTTGATCAAATGGGAACTTTTCTACGTACCTATACTTTCTCGATGTGAATACCCATCACTTTAGTGCCATTTCGAAAATCACTATTTATTTGGAGAAGTGACTACGAATGAGATCGTATCTTATTATAAACAGCAATACATATATTACACATTATTCTGTACGTAATATAGTTTAATAGCATATATCTAACACGTATTTCAAAGTGCATATGGTGAAGTGTATACCAGAATAAGCCTCATCGGCATCGGCGTGAATTCAATCAATCAAGCCGAGATAAGCATCTAGAGGTGTGGGTTTCGCCTCTACGGGATCGTTTCCCGGACGAAAGAGTTGTCGTTGAAATAAATAGTGATGGAAGGCTTATTTTGTCAGCCACACTCTCGTTTTAATGTTTTTAATATTTTTAAAGGGTGTGTTTATAAGATCCAAAGAATAAGTTTTTTTGAGCTAGAACTTTTTTAGCGGCGCAACTTGCTTTTTAGATAAATACTCTACAACAATTTATCAAATTAATTTGATGGGAGTTCAATTGTAATACTACAAAATTAATATGGTATTTGTAATGACTTTCTCAAAACGCTTAGAATTTGGCCGGGATCGTTTCGATACGGCTTTTCATATATATACATACAACGTATTCATTAATTAATTTAATGTCTTGTACAATTAATAGTCGACGTTGGTTGATATGTAAAAGAGTAAAAGAACAACAATTTTATAAAATTTTGCGTCTTAAAAATGGGATTAAATTATCTTACTACTTTGCGAACAAAGCGAAGGTTTCAGAGAGACACCTCTCCCACGGCACCAGAGTCATTCCGTCGGGATTTTTGAGTCACAATATTTGCTGAAAATAGAACCCGACGGATGAATTCGTGTAAGGCTGATGCCGTGGAAATCTCCCTGCACATCGACAGCAACTCAGAGCATGACAGCCACTGCCCTTATTTTTGCTATTATATTTCAATTAATGTATTTGTTATATGAATCTATTTGTAATTATTTAAAATTCAAGTTTGTATTCTGCGGATGTACCTTATTTAATAAATATATAAATCTGCGGTAATTGTTGGCCACTCTAAAATTTTAAAAGTCCCCGCATTCTACATCCCCAATGGTTACGAATTATATCTACCTTTTACACACATTAACCTTTGCCCTTAGCATCGCCGAACACTTCTTTCAAAGTAAACTCAATAAAAAGCAGAAACTTATTTCATGTTCTGCCCATAAAATAAGACCCAACAAATTCATTTTATTTCGTGAACACCCCGAGCCGAAGCTCTTTATGGGACCATTAAAATCACCGTTAATGGTTATGTACTGTTCGTGTGCATTGGTTTTACGTTATGGTTGCATGTGATTGAAGTAACTGTCTGTATTTTGTACTCCTTTTTCAGGGTATAAAATTTAAGTGGTTCGGTAAGACACGAAGCTTGTGGCAAAAATATAAGAAAAAGTACCTACTTCTACTGTTAAGAGCACAGTAAACTTGATAGGCTTATTCCCATATAATCTCCTGAAACTGATCCCCTAGGGGATCCGTTTTATTTTAAGATATTGTCTTTTCCCATCGGATCCCCAATACAGGAGATCAAATATAAATATTAATAATTTATTCCCACCTGATACCCTGGTACTTAAAAATTAATTTTTGGTTGGTACTATGGTACAGACAACAAGAAAATGTATACGTAATGTATAGGGCTTTACTGTATTTTATTTAGTTCATTAGAAATGAACAACATAAACTATGTTTTAACGGTCAAGGTCTTAATCCTTTCTTATTTTCTTAAAAATTTTGTTACATGGAATTTGCAGTCACGAATCCTGTCACAAAAAAAAAATGGCGCTGGATCATCGAATCGTATTTCAAAGGTAATGTATGGTTTTGGGGATCAGATGGGAATAACCACCTGATACATTGACGACCTCTATGGTCGAGTGGTTTGCACATCAGTTTTCATGGTGTCGCCATCTCCGAAGGCCCAGAATCGATAAATAAAATACTAAAATACTAACTTTTCTATATCGTCTCGGGTCTGGGTGGATAAGTGCTTTAGTTACTTACTTTGAAATCAGAGCAACGTATGTTATATTTGATTTGGGGCTTTGGGCTGTTCTTACCGTAAGCGGTTTAGAATTTAATTGAAACCCTAATAGCGAAGCTTTAAACTTGACCCAGTTTTACAAATGCCGAAACTGCAAATGG